TGTACTGGCTAAGTTAATTATGCATTTTTTTTTTGTATTTAATTTCCACACAGTTATCAGTTGTGTATTGGCTACGATGTGTAATTTTCCATTAATTAAATTTTGCAATTTAATATGTTATTTCAGCAGCTAATCTAACTTATGCATATTTTTTTTTTCAATTAACCTACATTACTACTAAATAATTACAGTTTTCCACTCGTACGCTAGAAACACTAATTTTAAACCCAAACACGTATATAAATAGAGACGAGTTTTTAATAATTACGTTTTGTAAATATATATTCATCAAATATAGAAATTTATAACGAAATAATACATAAACTTTGAGTATAAAATTAGTAAAAATACACATATAAAGTTATTATCGACATATCAAGCATAATTTGGATATTTTAACTACAAAATGACGTGACATTTTATTCATTTACAGTACGTATGTACAAGTGATATTATAGATGATCTTTTAGAAAGAAAGAAAAAAGGAAAATGGATAGCTAGCTAGCCTCAAGCAAGTGTTTGATATTACACGTAAGTTAACTAGGCATCTAGAATTATTGGAAATTAGTAAACAGGCCACATGATGATTTAGCATAATTGTAACATTAGTGAAATTATTGGAAAATAATTCCACCCTATAAATTTTCTTCCCAAAAAACTTCTTCTTTTGACCTACATCTCTAGATATAATATTCTCACTATTCAACTCGATTGCAAGAGTTAAAACATTGACTCTAGTCCCATAATCCTCATCTAACGAGATAAAAGTGTACCCGTTCACTTCACTGATTCGAGTTTAGAATTCGAGTTTTTTTACAGTAAAATGTTCTCACAAACAATCACATCTAATTTTTTTGCTACAGTAAAAAGCTCTCACATAAAATCACATCTAAACTCAAATTCTAAACTCGAATCAGCGAAGTAAACGAGTATAAACAAGAAGTTACCCAAGTAAGAAGTTTACTCAGATTGAAACTTAAGAAATAGTTCTTGGCGTTTGAACAAATTCGAACAATGGGCCCACGTGAAGGTCTAATGCGTACACTGCACATGGGCATTTCGTATAGAGAAAAAAAAAAAGGAAGAAAAAAGAAAAAAAAATGAATTATGAGTGGCCAATGTACATCTTTTTCTAAGTGTTCACAAGTACTATTAATTTGGAAAAAAGATTTTGAATAGATCTCTATGTGCGTATGTGCAGAAGATATACGAGGTCAGTATCCCATTTTTTTCGCTGATTCGAGTTTATAATTCGAGTTTTGCTACAGTAAAAAGCTCTCAGAAACAGTCACATCTAATTTTTTTGTTACAGTAAAGGCCCGTTTAGTTCGTTGATTCAAATTTTTAATTCGAGTTGAGATGTGATTTTATGTGAGAGCTTTTTACTGTAGCAAAAAAGTTAGAAGTGATTATTTGTGAGAGCTTTTTACTGTAGCAAAACTCGAATTCTAAACTTGAATCAGCGAAATGAACGAGGCCTAAATAGTTCTTATACAACATCACATCTCAACTCGAATTAAAAATTTGAATTAGCGAACCGAACGGGAAAATGTATCTAGATTCACATCACCAACATACAATTAATTACGTGTATTTGGAATATAGAATGGAAGAGTTTCTAGAATTTAATAGAAAAATATTTAGGGGCAAAATCAATATTAAGCACCGACGTTAATAAATAATGGATCCTATATACTAGGGGTACTATTAAAAAATGGACTGCTAAATACTATCGGTACATTATAGCATTGCTTAATTTAGTACGAGCTCATCTCTTAACAAATCTGGTAATATTTTTATTTATATTCCTAAGCAACTAGCACACTCACTGAAAACAACATACTGTTAAACTCTGCCCACAGAAACTCAATAAATGGCCGTACTGTTTATTAATCGGATTCCGTTCACATTTAATCCTGATCGGAACTTTTCATAAAGAACAAGATATAATTAGGAGAAAACAATACTGTTTAGCTAGGTGGCGTTAAATCTCACCATTATTTCTGGAGTAAATGGTTAGGATTTGAGTATTTTAGAACTCTCGAACCACATTAATACAGTTTCTTATTAGGGAAAAAGAACTAAATAGCATTTTCTCTAAAAAAAAAAAAAAAAGTTTATTGAAAATAACGTTCCTGTTTGGTTCCGTTTTCAAAAATGTTTTTCACGTTTTTTGAGAATAAAAAAATGAAAATGCTCTGGCAGTCCCGTTTGGCATTGCATTTTTTGAAAAATAGAAAATAAAAACGTTTTTTTACTTGTTTTCAAAAAGTGAGCAAAACTGAAAACAATTCTATATATTTTTTTAAGTATTTATGGTAAACCATTTTTATATAATAAATTTGTTTGGTAAATAAATTATTTATCATAAATTTTATCACGAATATTTTAAAATATCTATTTACGGATATTAATGTTTTTAAGAAATGGTCGATCTCCTGTAACTTCTCTTATTAGTAGGGTTTAGGTCTTAGAACACGGACAATGAACTTATTAGCTTATGCAGATGAACAGTTAATTATGAAGTAATTAGTTTCACAGTTTTTATTCAGATCACATGATTTTTAACTTTGTCATGAATACATACAATGTTAATAATTAGACCTTCTAATTTTTTTTTATATTACTCAGAGAGTAATAAGTTATAGAACATGAACAAATATAAATTGAAAATGAACAAATACACAGTAAAATTTATAGTTATTTCCTTTTAATTTGAGTTGACCGGGTAAACTTTTAGTTGGTAGAGTATTTCATTATGATAAAGAAAATTACATACAAAATCACACACTTCTCAAACTCACCATATTTTCTCACCTCTCTAATCTCTATGATTTAAAATTATTATCGGTTTACGTGTGTTTTTTATGAGAGAAAATACTGTAGCGAATCACGAACCATGATCCGAATTATGAGACGGATTCTTACTCCAAACGCACCCTAAACAACTCTAAAATTGATGTCAAAATTAGGAAAATAATCAAGCTTCACCCACTAATATAAAAAAGCGATGTAAGTACATAACTATGCATTGTGGGTATGGATTTTTCACCTGCTGCTGTGGATCTGAGTAATATAATTATTTCCCTATATGTTACAATAGCCCCTAAATAATGTACCCATATTTTCTGATTTCTCTATCTTTTTATCTTAATTTGTATGCTTTGGACTGTGAGCCACACCAAGGTTTCCTAGGGTGTATGGTTTTTTCACCCTTTATACAAGCCATGGTATGAATTTAATTAACTTCCACTCTCATTATTCCTACGTGCACATTTATAGTTGCGCAGACCGGGCAGTTGAACAAGCAAACATTAAAGATATGCAACTGTTTTTGCAAGTTGTACTCCACTGGATTTGGATTTGGCAATTACCTCCACTTTTCCCTTTTTTTTCTTTTTTTTTTTTCTCTTCTTTTGGTCTTTCTCCACCGGTATTTCCACAAGTCCTAAACCTTCAACTACTTAACCATTCTCATCATGTGATAACTATATAAGCACAACATTTATAGCGAATGAGTAAAAAAAATATTTAGGGCACGTTTAGTTCGCTGATTCGAGTTGAGATGTGACTTTATGCGATAGTTTTTTACTGTAGCAAAAAAAAAAAAAATAGATGTGATTGTTTCTGAGAATTTTTTACTATAGTAAAACTCGAATTCTAAACTCGAATCAGTGAAATGAACGGAGCCTTAGCCGTTCATCTACATGGGTCTTGCAAGTATATTTCTAGTCGTACATCAAAAAAAAAAAAAAAACTGTAGTAACATTAATTTACTGATCAATAATTTAAGACCATCGGCGGAGAATTTTCTGGTAGGATATGAAAAAAATTTTCACTGATACAACATCGTCAATGACGGATTTACTTGAGGACAACGACTATGAACCGCTTGAGCTCCAAATAAGGCCCGTATAGTTTTTATGGTTCGTCCTCACTGGCTTGTTTTTTTTTTTTTTTCCCTTGATTTTGCCCTCATTTACAATTAAGATTTTTTCCCTTTTTAATACCATAACCATCATTTTGATTCCTTTTCCGTTCTTAACTTCTCTATTCACTTTTTTTTCCCTAATGATATCTAATCAAATTTGCTTGTCTCTAATGAGTTATAAGTGTGAATTTACAGACACTTTCTAAAAAATCATGGGCTAAAAACTCATTTGAATCATATAATAACGAAGCATATATAATGACATGCAAAGTTTTCAAATATTAGAGATATATTTATGCAGTAATTATAATATGTTGATCAACGCGAAACAGAAAAGATAAACTTATTAGTCATTCAAAGTTATTGTCTTTGTTATGAATAAATTAAGTTTTTAATGTGGATGTTCACATTCCAAACATCCCTATGAAATAAATTATCTCCACTTTAATTATTATTTGTGTTTAGTATTTTTCAAAATCTTCATAGCCTCATATTTAGCACTCCATTTGTAGTATTTTATTGTTGTAACTCACGACTCTTAACCTCTCATACCTTTTGATTTTGGACTAATATATATATATATATATATATATATATATATATCCATTGAGAGCTCGTATTTGTAGATAACAAGATGATGCATTGTAAGAAAGTCTTTTCACTTTTTCACTATTTCTTTTGAGTCTGAATGTCTGATCTCTAAAACACTTTCAATTTAGTTTTCTTTTTCATGGGTGTCTTTAAAAATAAAATTAAAGATCCGCCATTTAATATACATATATTTACATCACAATTATATCACGTTAAAATAGTATGACAAATTAACCGAAAATTAATTTTATAGTTAAAAACTCTCTTACCCTACCAAAAAAAATTCACCTATAATTTACAAGCATTCAATTCCTGACCAACAATCAATGTGTAGATCTCGGGACAAAGGCCCACTATTGATCAAAGTGAAAGATAGAAACAGATATCTTATAATCCGTCTCATAATCCGTAACGACTTTCGTACACACCCACCTCTGCAAAATTTATGGTATAACCCTTCTCAAACAAGAGCCTTCAATTAATAATCTCAACTGTAAATTCATCCCATCTTCCAATTTTTATACCCCTCCTCTCTCTCAGTCCTCACTACTTACTTCTTCATAATCATCTCTCTCTCTCTCTCTCTCTCCTCTTCTCTTCCCATGGCTTCCCTCTCGTCCTACTACACCCTCCTAGCCTTACTAATCCCCATCCTGGTCTTCCTCCTCACCCGAAAGCCAAAATCGAAGCGGCTCAACCTCCCGCCGGGCCCGCCGGGGTGGCCCGTTGTCGGAAACCTCTTCCAAGTGGTCCGGTCGGGCAAACCCTTCTTCGAGTACGTCAGAGAACTCCGAGACACTTACGGCCCCATCTTCACTCTCAAGATGGGGACACGCACCCTCATCATTCTCTCCGATACCAAGCTCGTCCACGAGGCCCTCGTCGAGAAGGGCGCGATCTTCGCCTCCCGCCCGAGGGAGAATCCGACCCGGAACATCTTCAGCTGCAACAAATTCACAGTAAACTCCGCCGTCTACGGCCCGGTGTGGCGGTCCCTGAGGCGGAACATGGTCCAGAACATGCTCAGCTCGAGCCGGCTCAAGGAGTTCCGAGGAGTGAGAGAGAGGGCAATGGACAGGTTCATCGACAAGCTTTTGTCCGAGGCCAAGGCCAATGACGGCGTCGTTTGGGTGCTGAAGAACGCGAGATTTGCGGTCTTCGACATCCTCGTCAAGATGTCTTTCGGGATCGAGATGGACGAGGAGACGGTCGAGAAGATGGACCAAGTAATGAAAAAGGTTCTGATCACACTCGACCCGAGGATCGACGACTTTTTGCCGATCCTTGGGCCTTTCTTCGCGAAACAATGGAAGAAGGCATTGGAAGTGAGGAAAGAACAAACAGATTTCATTTACCCTTTTATTCAACAACGTAAAAGGGCGTTGGAGAATCCCGGTTCCGACAAGGCGGCGACGTCGTTTTCGTACCTCGACACGCTTTTCGACCTGAAAATCGAAGGCCGGAGCTCGGTTCCGACGAAAGACGAGCTTGTTACTCTCTGCTCGGAGTTTCTCAACGGCGGTACGGACACCACCGGCACCGCCGTCGAGTGGGGGATCGCTCAGCTGATCGCGAACCCCGAGGTTCAGAGGAAGCTCTACGAGGAGATCCAAAACGTCGTCGGATCGTCCGACCGGAAGGTTGACGAGAAGGACGTGGAGAAAATGCCTTACTTGGAGGCTGTCGTGAAAGAGCTTTTACGAAAACACCCTCCGACGCCGTTTTCCCTTACGCATGCAGTCACCGAAACGACGAAGTTGGCGGGGTACGACATACCAACTGATGCGAACGTGGATATATTTTTGTCCGGGATTTCGGATGACCCAAATGTGTGGTCCGATCCGGAAAGGTTTGACCCGAACCGGTTTTTAGGTGGGGAGCAAGGGGGTGGAAACGACATGACGATGTTGCCGTTCGGTGTGGGGAGGAGGATTTGCCCTGGACTGACTATGGCCACGGTGCACATTCACCTTATGCTGGCTAGGATGGTGCAGGAGTTTGAGTGGTGCGCTTACCCGCCGGGCAGCGAGATGGATTTCTCCGGCAAGACGGAGTTCACGGTGGTGATGAAGAACACGCTTAGAGCCGTGATCAATCGCAGGGGTTGATTAATTAGTTAATCGGTTTGTCTAGTTAAGTTTATGATGGGTTTTTCTTGGTTAATGATACAAGTATAGAGAAGGGTACAATGTGATTATTCATGATTATGCGTGGTGTACGTGTATATCCCTACTAGCTCTACAATTTTGTGGGGTTTTGTTTTTGATTTTTTATTGCTCTTTTTTTTTGGGTTAAGATTTTTGCGTTATGAATTTGTTTTGTTGGTCATTTTTCATTTTTTTGTTGTTTCGTTTTGTTTTGTTTTTTTGGTTTTGGTATTCTTTTCATCAATATGCTTACTTGGAGGATAAATTAAAGATCAATGGATATATCTTTGGATAATGTTGAGGATTTCTAATCGGATCTAAATCCGTTGTTTAATTTTTAGTGTTTTAATTGATATCTAACCAATTAAATTATACCACGTCATTTCATAATAAACACAAAAAAATAAATTAAAAAGTAATTTAAATTTTTTACATAACGTGACATAATTTAATTGATTAGATATCAATTAAACATTAAAATTGGTCAATAGATTTGAGTCCTTTCTAATCTCCTACCATTTAATGTGATAGTTTTCTATTTCAACTCTAATACAAATAATAGTGTACTAAATTCGTAAGAGTGCAATATTAAATACTACTAGCTAGCTAGGCTAGGCGCCGACTGACTCTGTTGAAAGAATGTTAAAACATTAGAGAATTTTTTTGTAAGACGAAGCTTTGGATTTATTTAGTAGGGTACATCATATAAAGAACAGTTTAAACTTCAAACTACCAAGTACCAACAACTTTTATTAAATGCTGTTAATTTTATATTTAATAATTATGATCCTGACGCGTTTACCCCCTAATAATAATCATGAAACATCAAGTGGTATAGATTTTGACTTTTCGCACACATACTGACATACATTGCATACCAAGTATCAACAATTATTTTTTTCACTGATTCGAGTTTAGAATTCGAATTTTATTATAATAAAATTTATTTAAAAATAGTCATATTTAATTTTTTTATTACAGTAAAAAATTCTCACATAACATTACATCCCAACTCAAATTAAAAACTCAAATTAACGAACTAAAAGGCTATATAAATATATACGTGATAGGATAATAATAGAATATATTTATATCATATACATATATATGAGTTTTTTTAAAAAAATATATGAGTTTTTAATTGTTATATTTTCATGATAATTATTAATTAAATATAAAAATTTAATAATATAGCGTGATAAATTTAATTTTCATAATTTTTTTTTAAACAAGAGGTTCCAGATGATTTCTCTATCAAACTTTTTTTTTTTGAGATCTTTTTCGATAGTTAATATACCACTAGGTTAGATTTTTTATTCGTTAAATCTGTATAAAATCATGAAAAACTTAAAAAATATACAAATTCAACAGTTAAAAAAACTTAACCTATTAGTACACTAAATATATAAAAAAATCTTTCGAGTCATCTCCTGATTAATGCTCAATAGACAAGAGTTTTTTTTTTTTTGAAATGACACTAGTCTTTTCGGCGTGTTCATTTAAGAGAAAAAAGAGCTTAGTTGGGGCTGCATTTGACTTCCCATGTGACATTCATAAATTTTAAGCAATCTAAATTTCACCACTTCTCAACCTCATGCTATTTTTTTTTTTTTGGGTGGAAATGCGTGATACTTTTCTATTTGCAAGTCCCTCTCTCTTTGATGAGCAAAAAAAAAAAAAAAAAGTCCTTTTCTCTTTAGGACCTTCTCCAGTCAACATATCGGTAAACCAGATTTTTTATTCGTTAAATTTGCATATTTTTTATCCGTTATATCTGCATAAAATCACTTAAAAATAAATAAAATATGTAGATCCAAATGTTAAAAAAATTTGATCTACCGATACTCCAGACGTACCAGAGGATCTTCTTTTTTCTTCTTATTTTGGTTTTTTTTCCCCTTTTCTTCATTTACCACAATTGAGTTCCCTTTCAATAAAATAAGAGAATTTAGTGTATGAAAAAAGGGTTTAGGTAAAGTCTCCAATTCGGTACTAGATTAGTGCGACACATGTATATTTTTTTATAAAAAATATGTATATTTCCTCTTAAAACATGTATAGTGTTTAGACAAATTATATGTGTCTCTCCACATTATACATATTTTAAGAGAAAATATATATATTTTTAAGAAGAAATATACATATTTTTAAAAAAAATATACATATTTTTAAAAGAAATATACATGTACCGTTCTAATCTGGTGCCGGATTGGAGACAATTCTAAAGATTTTATCATTATTGCATAGTTTAAAAATATTTATTTACCGCAGGAAAATAACCAAAAATACTATCATTTTATTTCTGACACTGTTATCTGTAAGTTATTTTTTTATGATCTATAAATTATTTATCTCAAATTATATTTCGTACTATGCAGAATTTTTTTTCCTCAACAAAAACCTATAAATCACAGCCTGCTGTGTATAGCACCACTAACATATTCAACAATAATATTTCTTTTTCAATAGTTTTTTTCTCAAACAAGAAAATACGCGCAAAAAGAAAATAACGATAACAACAACAGCACAGAAACTCTGTCGCACCACTGCCGGCCACAACGCGCCGACGTCTCCGGTCGTCACCGCCTACATCAAGCAGCTCGCCATTGCTCACAACCTCAGTTTTCGCCACCAAACTCCATCCACAGAGCGGAGACAAACCAAATCTCGTCTTCCTCCGTCGCACATCTTCAGTCACGATCTCGGCTGAAATCGCTGAATCTCGCAGCCAAACAACCGCGACAAACCGTCCCTCCGCCGTCTACAAGAGTATGTCTTCTTCGTTGCAGCTGTCATGAGGAAAGCTCATCGTTGTCGACTTCGTCCTCGATCGTTTTGTCAACGTCGTCTGAGTTCGCCAAGCCATGGATCTACACCGAAGCTGCGACGGATCTCTTTTTCTCTCTACAGATCTCCGCCGCCAACGATAGCAACATCTTTCCGTTGGCCATAACCGGAACTTCCGCCATGACTAGATCTTGTTGTCCAGATCTGTGATCTTTGAAGACACATATTAGAGAGAGAGAGGGAGAGAAAAAAAAGGAAAAAAAAAGATAAATTATACTGCGGTTTTTTTTAAACACCTATTTTCATAAATAATTAAACTTTTTTTTTATTTTACAAAAAAAGCCATTTTGTTTACGTGAGTCAATTAGCGATTAATCTATAAACCCTAATTAATCAGTAATTGACCCATAATCAATCATAATTAATAAATTTATTATTAATTTATCATGATTTATCATTAATAAACATGTAATTTATTAATTAAAATTGATTAATTATTAATTAATTATTAACTAATGTTAATTAATAATAAAAAATAATCAAGTTAATCACTGATAAACTATAGTCAATCATAGTTGACCGCATAATCAATTAGTGATTGACCGCTGAGTCAATTAATAATTAATCACTAAATTAATGAAAACTTTCATTTTTATAATTTTGTAAAATTTCGATCATTTATAAAAACATCTTTTAAAAAAGTTTATTTGTGCTGAAATCCAAAAAAAAAAAAAAAGTGGCATCAGAATTTATCAATGGCAAAAATAATAGGATTGGTAAAGAGAGTGGTTAAATTTGAAATTTTTTCTAATATAAATGTAATTGTTATGTAATCTAACACTTCAAAATTACTACACAACTTTTCCTCTTAAAATAATTACTACACAATTTCCCAATAAAAATATAAAAAAAGCATAAATGATAATAAATTTATATTGGACATATATCATCCATAAGTCATATATAGTAATGAGAGGCACATGAGAATTCGCAAGACAACCAGGACAAAACCTTCACCTGTCCCAACCGTTTCTGAACCTTCCATAGCTGTCGACAGCAGTGAAATTATGAGCCTGGTTGGTTTGAATTAAGGATGGTGTTTATTGGATTGGTTTATGGTTGTTCTTTTTTTCTTCTTTTTTTTTTAAACGTTTATATCATTACTCCTTATTCCTTTCCTGTAACGATAAAAACAAACAATAATAATAAAATTGCTAAATGGTACAATAATCACTGTTTATTAAAAATTAACACATTCTTTCTTGTTCTAACAACAAAACAAAAAAAAAACAAAAAAAACAAAAACACACACACACCTGTCACCTCTCTTATGTAGCAAGAACATATATATCAGCTATATATATTAAGATAAAAAAAAATATCAACTATATATATCAACAATACATGAGTGAGGACCTCTTTTTTCCTCACTGAAAAAGATAAGTGGTGTCCTCACATTCACATGAGCTTAGTGGACGTTAGTTTATTAATTCATATTAAAAGTTTAAGTTATTAAGAAATAAGCTAACACAATAATAGTTTTATACTTTAATATTCTCTCTCACGTGTGAAGTAAGACAATAAGTAATTGTGTGGGTAAATTAATTGGAAAGCCCAACATGTAAATATTTGATAATGAGCCTAAAATATATTAAAGATCTAACACGTGATAACAATTTAAATGAGGATAAAAAGTGCAATTATAAGAGTTTGAACTTAAAACTTCCCACTTTAATATTATGTTAGTTTACCAATCTATCCCAAAAATTTATGCTATTAAGAGGTGGACCAACAATAGTTTTATACTTTAACAGTGGCATTATGGAAATTTATTGAGACTATAGTTGAAAAAAAGAAAATTTTCAGATACTTTCATCAAATACCATCCAGTGCTTGCAAAGCCATCTCAACTCAAGGCATATTCGACAAGTTGAAAAGAAGTATAATTCTAACCTCAATAAGAATAATGGAAATTAATCCACACGTGTCAAGTTAGGGAGCCCCGATAAATCATTATTTTTTGTCACCATGCCACCATCACTTGTGGTGTGTGAGAGGTCAAATGTTCAAATCCGGGTGTTGCCTAATCAACAAAAGAATCAAAATATTTTATTTTAATTTTGCTGATATAACTTGTTAAATTTTTTTCCAGCAGAAGCAAGTAGAGGAAAAGGACTCTGGATACTTGCTTTTTAAGTATCTGGGGGGTTCTATTCTACTCTATAAAATATTGTAAATACTTTTGTTAGGGTTTAGGAAAAGATTATAGTCGTAAAAAAGAACTGGTAAATTTTGATATGATAGCCTTTCCACTACTAATGTAGTGTGATTGAGTCTTGAATTAGATTGGATAGCCGGACGGAGAATCAAATGAAATTTTTAGTTACGGAAAGAGTAGAAGAAGATCCCGTTCACTTCGTTGATTCGAGTTTAGAATTCGAGTTTTTCTACAGTAAAAAGCTCTCACAAACAATCACATCTAACTTTTTTACTACAGTAAAAAGCTCTCACATAAAATCACATCTCAACTCGAATTCTAAACTCGAATCAGCGAAGTGAACGGACCCTAGTGTACATAATCACGAAATACTATAGACTTTCCTACTAAAAATCAATTCCTAGCTATATTTGGTACTTTTGTGTATCACATTTATTGTAACTCTATCCTACCATTTAATAATGCGGGACTGAGCTTGGGAGAAAGCTTTAATTGGTGCTGAAGCTTTGCTGGTGCATCCATTACAAAAGGAAAAAAAAAGAAAAAAAACTGGAGGCTAGTAGATCAAGAATTCTTCATACAAGTATAGGATCTATCTTAAGCAAGCAGAACTAGTTTTCTATTAAATATTAATTTGAATTTTAAACTAAGTTTTGAATTAAATTTTAAGGTAAATTAAATGACCTTTCATTTTCCATCATCATAGGTAGGAATAGCTAAGATAGTGCTTTAATGTGTTACATAATAACTACAAAATAAAATAAAAAATTATGGGCTTGATTAATTAATCAAGTTGTTGGCTATTCATTGCAATTAATCAATAATGAACGCTAAAATAAAAAAGAAAACTAAAAATAACAAGAACACCAAAATCGGTTATTTTGTTATATGGCCAAAACTTTTTACAAAGAGTGAGTACGTAGGCCAACGGTGTTAAGCCAGTAAGTTGTCGTTTAGTTAAGAGTGAGTTATTGTGTTGGTTTCTTCACCGTTGGAGGTTATGAAAAGTCTCTTTCTATAATAAAGCGTTGGACAATTAGCTGAAATTCAGCGGCACCGTTAAAACATCAATTATATGTATTAAATACGTAAAATACAGCTAACAAAGATATACGATCCCAAAATGTACATACCAAGCATGGCAATGAAGTGTTCAAGTACTAGTTTAAGATGATGATCATAAATACACAGCAAAAATGGTTTTGCTGATCAAAGTGAATACAGTTCTATGTCGTCGTCAAATTATCTGTCACATAGCGGGTAATCTGTCACTCAATCTTAGTCATTGAGTCCTCAATTTTATGAGGATTAATTACAAAACTCCTCCCTAAATTTGTAAAAGAACAATTTACTTTAAAATGAAAATTAAACATATGTATAATTAACTAACATTTAAAAAAAAATGTTATTTACTTTAAACATAAATATAAAATATGCTATATTGTGCGTTTTCCCTTTTGAAATAATAAGTATATCTCGAGATATAGCTCGTTGTTAACTGCCAACTAAGGCTCCGTTTAGTTAGAGGGATGAGGAGTAAAAAGGATGAAGAAAATTATAATAATTCTTTATGTTGTTTGGTAAGATGGAGAGAGAGTTGAAAAGATACATAACAATTCTTTGTTAAATTACTATATTATCCATTTAAACTTTTGGTTAATAATTTAATCAAAGGGTAAAATAGTCTTTTAAGGTTAAAAATGGATGGATTGCTTGAATCCTTCCATCAATGGAAGGGTCCAATTTGGTTGGTTATAACGGAGAGCACATCCCTCCACCTATCCTCTCCCTCCAACTCTCCCTCTAACCAACAAGAGATTGGACCTCTCCTTCCATCCCTCTCCCTCCTACCAAACATACTCTAACTCTCTTGCTTGTCTTGACTTTTTTTTTATTTATATTAAAGTTGGTTTTGACTTGTTAATGGATCCACTTATCAATTCTTTAATTTTGTACGTTACAGACAGCCTTCTAATTAAGCAAATAAATTATATCCAAGAGTTATATGTTATTATATAAGCACGTAAGCTTCTCATCTGATTGAGTGATTTAAATCTCCTGATAACGCCTCTTTGGGAGAAAAAAAAAAGTGTCATACCTATTTTAGTACAAGTTTATTAAGAGGGGAAAAAAAAAAAACAATTACACATATACATCTATGTATAAAGCAAGTATACGTATACGAATTAAACAATATGTATAAAGCATGTATGTGTATATGTATACGTATATTTATCGTCTGCGTCCCATAGGCCTTATATATTGAGAACTAGTTTCAAATTATGTATTGTTCATTCACTCTATGATATAATTAAGGTCTAGATGGAACTGAGCAGATAACTGAATATCCTTGCGCTGGCAAAAACATATAATTTAAGGCCACTTAGTTGTTCAACTAGGTGAAGTCTAGCCTTGCTTGGTTGGTAGAAGAGAAAGCAAGAGGAGGAAATTTGAGGTTATTTGAAATTTGATATCTCTCACACAATTTATTCCTTCCTTTATATATATATATATAT